CCCCTAGTATGACGGCAAGAGTTGAGGAGGAAAGACTATAAGCCAGGCACTAAACTCATTGAGACAGCTGGGAGAATGTCCTAGGAGCTGGTAGATAATGGCCACCATCATTTTGATTGGGATAGACTGAACTTTAAAAGAAAGAGGTTCCTGATTTATTATAGTAGAGGTGTATTGGTATAGAGGTATTGTCGGGAAATGACTGAAGAAGAAGGAGTATTCTGACTCCCTCACCAGGACCAGTGAGTTGAGGGGAATGAGTGAAAATGCAACTAGTACTGGAAAGAATAGCCAGAGAAGCAGTGTCATCTGGGGAGTGTGAGAACTGAGTGTCAGAAGATAGAAGGAGGAAGGAGAAAAAGTCCTAAAATGAAAGGAAGTTTCTTAAGTATGGAGAAGGAATTCAAGAGGGCACAGTACAAAAGGAGGACGGAAATGGAGTGTGACATGGTGGGGATAGGGTTGGGGTAAATGGGAATGATTTAATGATCAGTTGGGATTGGAAAGGACTGTTTGTCCTTTAGCAGTGGGGGATTTAGTGTCATTAGGGAAAATAAGAGTATTTGAACCATTGGGAAATAAGTCTACTATCAGTTTGGAAGAGAGGAGGTCTAAATCAAAACAACTCTGAGGTGCCACATCACACCTATCATATTAGCGAACGTGACAAAACAGGAAAATAATAAACGTTGGAGAAGATGTGGGAAAATTGGAACACGATTGTTGGTGGAGTTGTGAACTAATTCAACCATTCTGGGGAGCAATTTGGAACTATTCCTAAAGGGCTATAAAACTATGCATGCCCTTAGACCCAGCAATAGCCCTTCTGGAGCTGTATCCCAAAGAGATCATACAAATGGAAAAAACATCCACATGTATAAAAATATTTATAGCAGCTCTTTTTGTGGTAGCAAAAATTGAGGGGACACCCATCATTTGGTGAATGGGTGAGTATGTGGTATATGAATGTAATGGAATACTATTGTGCTATAAGAAATGATAAGCAGGCGGACTTCAGGAAAACCTAGAAAGACTTATATGAACTGATGCTGAGTGAAGTGAGCAGAATCAGGAGAACATTGTACATAGTAACAGCCACATCGTGTAATGACTAACTTTGATAGACTTGTCTCTTCTTAGCAATGCAAGGATCTAAGACATCTCCAAAAGACTCATGAGATGGAAAATGCTATCCACATCCAGAAAAAGAGCTATGGAGTGTGAATGCAGGTCAAAACATGTTATTTGCTCTCTCTCTCTCTTTTTTTTTTTTGTTTCTTCTTTCTTGTGGTTTCTCCCATTGGTTCTAATTCTTTACAACAGGACTAATTTGAAAATAGGTTTAAGATGAATGTATAAGTTGAGCCTGTATCAATTTACAGGCCCTCTTGGGGTGAGGGGAGGGGAGAGATGGGGAGAAAATTTGGAATTCAAAATCTTGTGGAGGTGAATGTTGAAAACTAAAAATAAACAAATAAATTTATTAAAGAGAGAGAGAGAGAGGTCTACTGCTGGATGCTGGGTCTACCCAGGGTGCAGGAAGGAGATACAGTGGGGCTAGAATTGATAGAATTTAACAACTGATTAGATATAGGAGGTTAAGTTGATGGAAGAGTCAAAGATTACTCCAAAGTCATGAACTTGAGTAACTGAGAAAGATGGTAGTATGGTCAATAGAATTAGGAAAGTTGAGAGAAATGGATAATTTTGAGGTAAATGATGAGGTCTAAGTAGAAATGGCCATCAGGTAATTTGACTTCCATTCCCACAACTCCAGGGAATAATTGTAGCTAGATAATTCCCCACCATCCAAGAAAGGAAAAATTACTAGAGAGAGAGAGAGAGAGTAAAGACTGTAAATTGAGGAAATTGAAATCAAGAGAAGGGTAATTGAATAGGCAGATAAAATGAAATTGAGAGCCTGGAGGCTGTCACAAGTTTAAATAGCAGTTTTGAAAAATCAGGCATTGGGGAAGTTAGAAGGTTGGTGATTGTGATCGGAGAGGGGAATTTTAAACTTCACTAATTATGCAAGTGGAATAATTTTGGGTAGTCGTACGTGATTTTATTCCTCCTAGGAGTACGTAAGGTAGAGTTGATGAAGTGGGACCAGGATGTTCGAAAGGTAGGTTATCATAAATATTGAAGTCATCAAGGATAATAGTAAATAATTTCAAAATTGGTGTGTGTATGTTTATGTGTATGTGTGTATATATACTTGTGTGGGACAGCTAAGTGGCACAGTGGATAGAGCACTAGAGTCAGGAAAACTTGAGTTCAAATCTGACCTCAGATACTTACTAGCTGTGTGACCCTGGGCAAGACACTTAACCCTGTTTCCCTCAGTTTCCTCATCTGTTAAATGAGCTGGAGAAGGAAATGGCAAACCATTGCAGTATCTTTGCCACGAAAACCCCAAAAGTGGTCACAAAGAGTCAGACATAACTGAAAACAATTAAACAACATACATGTGTGTCTTTAAAAATTTTAATTCTTTCTGCTTAGACAATGGAAAGGAAGCTTTTAAGCCAGATGCTGAAGTAATTGAGGAAGCTGGAAGGTGTTTTTAACATCAGCAGATGATAGGAACTTGACCAAATGATATAATTGCATGGTGTGAACTTCAGAGAAAGAGAGGTTGTTGAGTGAAAGAGGATCTCGTGAAAGAGTCAGAAAGAGGATCTAGATCTGGAAGTAGCAATGAGCAAGGAATGTGCTGACTTTCCCTGGCTGTGTGAACTAAAGGGTGTAAGAGGACTACTCAATAAGGGTATCACAGAAGGTGCTTTCTTACAGGAAAAAACCAGTTCAATTAGTATTTACTTGTACCTGTATTGAATTGTAGTTTGTCGGTGTTATAGATAACATTTTTGCCCTTTTAAGTCTTTTAAAATGAACTATGATCAATTTTATGAACCTTTATGTATATATGAGGGAGAAGTGTATATTTCTTTCCTTTTCATTAAGTTCTAATCATTCTGTTTACATTCATGTTTTTATTTATACTTTTCTCTTTGATTTATCTTTCTGATAAATCTACTATTATCAAATCTACTATTAATAATTTTCTATTTCTTCTGAAAGATCTTTCCTGTTATATGATTTGCTATATTATTTGGTATACACATATTCAAAATTGGTATTCCTTTATTATGATATCTCTTAATATGATATTATATCCTTGTTTATCTTTCAGTGATGTATTATTAGAATTTAATTTTGTCAAGTATCATCCTTGCAACTCCAGATTTTTTGAGTCATCATGAGCTGATCTTCATTTTATATTTTTGTATTTTTTTAATAAAATATCAGAGATGATGTTTTGGAATTCCATTAATCCTTTCCATTTTTTTCCCCACTTTTTTTTCTTTTTATGAGGGAATTCAGATCTCCTTTGGTGAAGTCTCCATGAATTTAAACCATCTCCAAAAATTGGATCAGAACATGGTGGACATTGTTGGTACCATACTGCCATAGTTAAGGCATATTATCTTCCTTCCTTTTAACAATTAGTAAATTTCAAAAGTGGACATTGACATTTATTGTCAATCAAAATTACACTATAAGGCAGTTTTGCTATTTTCGGAGACTGAACTTTGTTGAGGTGCTTGGGGAGGTATCTATTGTGTCAAAACAAAAAATTTTTTAAATGCATACAGTGGCTACTATACTTTTTGAGAGATGATGACAAGTTGCAACCCAGTCATGCTATAATTTTATAGCCAGGCCTCTTGAGGATCAGTTGAAAATACTGGGAATTTTTAACTACAAGAAGAAAAAATCTAGGGGAACTTAATTGCAGTCTTCAGATATTTTAAAGGCTCTGTGAAAGGGGAGAATTAAATTGATTCTCCGTGGATCCACAAGTTAGAACTAGGCATAGTGAGTGGGAGAAAAATTTCAGCTCAGTTATAAGGAAAAGTTTACTGATAATTAAAACTGTGTGGGGTCCAAAATTATCTAATCTGCAGGAAAAATCACTGAGGCAGAGCTCTAAGCCATTAACTATTTATTAAAGGGTCCAGACCCCTTCAATGAATGGGACCTCAGATCTTTCTCATGATCTGAGCCTTAATTTCATAGGACTTGGTATCCAGACACAGAGTTTCATTGGATGATAGACTTTCCTTTTGACCCTCCAGGAGGGCCAGAAATGATCCATCAGCCTAGGTGGTCACAGGATGGGCAAGGCAGGAAGGGTCATTTCCTCTAAGTAGTCATAAGATGGGTCCCTGCTGATATTAGATGAGAGAGTGGTCCAAAGGTATAAAAATAAATTGAGGGGCTTTCCATATCATGTCAAGACATCCCACATACACTAGGTTTGGTCATGTACTCTCCACCCAAAGGGTGAAGGTCCTATAGTCAGCATTCTTGTGGTTAAGAAAGTGAATTTCATAACAGGTTATTGAACCACTAGTTGAACTTAGAGCTTGTAGTTTGAAGTTTGGGGTTAGAATCTATCTAACCTTATCTAATTATTCCTATATCTAAGATATGTAAAATATGTATTAATATATGCAATTCCTGTATTCATGTTAGTTGACTAGACTAAATGTATATTACTAGATGAGTATATCACTAGTAATTGCTAACAATCACTACCCCATGGAATCACACTAAGCTGATTAATACTGATTAGAGCAAAATACGGTTCATTTTATATTTTTCAAATGCTTTCATTTTATATATTTCATCTTTGTCAGATGTCTTTGGAATGGATTCCCTCATGAGGTAGTGAATTTCCCATCACTGAATTCATTCAGGCAGAGAATGGATGACAAGTTGTTGGAGATACTGTAGATGGGGTTCATATTTAACTAGCTTCCATGGTTCCTTCTAACTCTTAAAATTTTATGATTCTGTAAGAATTCTTTCTCTTAGAGAAAACTGTGTGCTAGAATTTAACTATGTCAATTCTAGAAGCAATACTTAGTTTGGTATTCTTTGTTCTGTTCTTAGTTCTCAGCATTTGTCTACATTTCCAATTTCTTTCACAGTACCTGGGGGCTACCTACAAAGAGAAATTAATTTCTGTGAAGATTAAATCCCAGCAGATCTTGGCATCAGCTCTTCCAAATCAGAATGTCCACAAAAGTAAGGGAGGCTTCGATGCTGGTTTCACAAACGCCAGATGAACAAGATAGGATTCTAATAGTGAAGATGGAAGAGGAGGAAATCCACACCTGTGAGCAGGAACCCAGTCTCCACTGGAACAACTGCTATAGCCCAGAAACATTTCGGCAGCGTTTCAGGCAGTTTGGCTACCAGGATTCACCTGGCCCCCGTGAAGCCCTGAGTCAACTTAGGGAGTTTTGCCATCTATGGCTGAGGCCTGAAATGCACACAAAGGAGCAGATCTTGGAGCTGTTGGTGCTAGAGCAGTTCCTGGCAATTCTGCCCAAAGAGCTCCAGACCTTAGTACAAAAGCATCATCCAGAGAATGGCGAGGAGGCAGTAACTGTGCTGGAAGATTTGGAAAGGGAGATTGATGGACCAGGAGAGCAGGTTCATATGACAAGGGGTCATCTAGTAATGGGGGGAAATTTTCTGAGTTTCTATCTCCCCTTCACCTAGTTAGAAACATAGTTGTGTATGTCTTGTCTGTTTTCTCTTCTTGTCTGCCGTATTTGCCTATTGTTCTAGGAAAAGGAATGAAATTCTCATTCTTCCATCCTTTGTCCCTGAGATATTTTTCCATATAGTCTCTTCTTTCTGTGATTTGTGTTCTTATTATTACCATAATTGGCTCACAACCTAAACTAAATCCAAATGTTTCCAGGTCTCATTCCATCAACAAAATCAAGAAGAGATGGTACTTCAAGGAGCAGATCAGGAGTCACTAAGCCTCCAAGTCCAGCCCATGGTTAACCAGCTCAAGTGGGCATCTTGGGAACTCCACACCCTAAGACGAAGTGGTAAGGAATTAAACTCTGTGTGGGGTGGAGGGTGAAAGTGGGTGTCCCTTCCACCTCAGGTATGTATAACTGGTGCCTTTTTCCTTACCCATTCGCCTCTTAATGTTGGAAGTGTTATCGTTATTTGTTTCCCCAGGCTCTTAATATAGTAGAGCTCCTTTTACCCTTTTCATATCCTAAATGAAATTAGTCTTTATTTATAGATATCAACCATACCAGTCATTTCTTCTGTTATAACTTCTTCATTGACCATTCTCATATTGCTATCAAAATCATTTTCCTCACTCATCTTCTTGGCTTCTTTTCTAGCCACCTTTTCCTACTTTGATTTCCATTAGCTTTTACATCAAATTTTATATCTTTATGGTTTCATTCCTCATTGCTAGACCTGTAGCTTCAGACCAGCTTGCCTACCTTTCACATGAGAGGAATGTCTTTCCATTTTTCAGCAACTTCTCTCTACTTTAAAAAAAAAAAACCTATCCCAGAAGTTATCCATAGCTATTTCTAACTTTACACCTTCCTGTGTTTTTCTCCTGTTTTCATGGCTTTTTCCAGGGCCCTATTAAGATCACCACTGCACCTCTTCTGCAGAGGTTATACTGGTCGTCCTGTTTACTCTGAATGAACTGTGGAAAAAACGCTTTTTCTCTTACTTCAAAAAGCCACTGGAGCTTCTTAAACAGGGAAGAGACATAGGAACTATGTGTTAAAAGTATTAATTTAGCATCTGTATGTAAGATGGATTGGAGGAGGGAGAGACAGTAACAGTCTAGGCGAGAAGTGACGAAAGCCAGATGAAAGTGACTTTGTGAGTGGGGAGAATGGGATAGGTGCAAGAGATACTGTGGAAGTAAAACTGATAAGACTTGGCAACTAATTGAATGTGGCATTAAAGAGAAGATTCAGGGGTAGACTTTGTAGTTTTAAACCTGGGAAACTGGGAGGACTGAAGGACAGAAATAAGAAAATTTGAATGTGGGTAAGCTTAGAGGAAAGATAATGAGTTCTTTTTTAGACTTGAGCATGTTGAATTTGAGAAAATTCAGTAGAATGTAAGCTTCTTGAGGGCAGAGACCATTTTTCAGTTTTGTCTTTGTATATTCCTATCCCCTAGCACAGTTCTTTGCACATAGTAGTCTCTTCATAAATTCTTGTTTGTTGAATTAGACTAGATTGGATGGCACATCCCAGTGGAGATGTCTAGCAGGCAGTTGGTGATGGAGCACTGAAGCAAAGAACGGTTAGTTTGGAGTTTAAAAAAAAAACAAAACTTTAATGTAGAAACAAATTTACAGAATACAAATTTCTTATCCTAATTTAACTGATGACTAAACTCAAATTTGTTTGGTGTACACAACTCCAGTTCTTTCCTTTCTTCCACTCTATTTCATGTGAACTAAAGAAAAGAATTTTGTTTCTGTATTTCTGTCAGACTTGAATAAGGAGGCTGAGCCACTAGTGGTGACAGTGAGAGTTGTCTGTTTCTCAGGGCATGGGAAAGATCCAGAGAAGCTAGGGCTTATAGGTGAAAATAGCTGTGGATATTGATCTCTTTCATCCTATAGTTTTCCCTTACAAAAACTTCTTTCATTTTTATAGAAATGGGACTTTCTTGCTGTAATCCATAAATAGGTATGATTTTAATGCAGAAAATTTGAATGGAATGTTCATGACTGTTGTTACAATAAATTATTTATTTTTCATATTTGCTTAAAATTGAGACTCTCAACACTTGGAGAGTTGTGAGCCATAAATGTTGGCTTTAATACCAGCATTTCATGACTTCATGATTTCATTTGAAGGGTCATTTAGTCTTATCCTTACCCTAAACATGAATCTTCTCTAGAACATCCCCCATAAGTGAGAATTTGATATCTGCTTGAAGATCCCTCAATGACGGGTTATTTAATAACCCCTGAAGTAACTGATTGAATTTTGGTACATCTCTACTTGACAGGAAATTTTTCCTTATGTTGGGCCAAAAATTTACCTTCCTGCCTTCCTACGGTTCCCATTCTGACCTCAGGGAGCCAAGCAGAATAAGTGTAGCATCTTATCTACATGATCACACTTCACATGTTTGAAAATAGCTATCCTCTGTTCTCTGTCATCAGTTCACCAGTTCGTCTTTTTCTGTCATATCACCATCCTGATCACTTTCCTTAGGATAAGCCCCACCTGATCAATATCCCTTCTAAAAGATGGGTCTAAGAACTGGACACAAGGGGCAGCTAGGTGGCACAGTGAATAGAGCACCGGCCCTGAAGTCAGGAGGACCTGAGTTCAAATCCAGCCTCAAACCAAACACTTGACACTTAGTAGCTGTGTGACCCTGGGCAAGTCGCTTAACCCCAATTGCTTTAAAAAAAAAAAAAAAAACTGGACACAATATTTCAGATTGTGTATGACAAGGGGAGAGCACAGCTGAATGACCACTTCTCTGACCCTGACATTTGTCTTTCTCTGGCTCTATAGCGCTTTTATAGTTCCTCAGAGAGCATATATAGCAGCTTCACAATAATAAAGGAAAAACTCATATTTCATGTTTGCATAGTGCTTTACTCACAATAATTTTTTGGGGAAAGTAATATTGGCTATTTTAAAGATGGGGAAAGACGACTCAGAGTTTACATGATTTTTTTTCCAGGATCACATGGCTAATAATTGGCAGAGCCAGCACTTGAGCCCATCTAATGATTCTGAGTGTAGTGCTAGTTCCACTATACCTCACTGCCTCTTTAGTTTATATATATATATGATAGGTGCTTTTTATTAACTTCCTCTTTTATAGAGTTTCAATTCTCTGTTAACCATTTTTGTTCTGTCCTTCTAAGCTGAAAAATTTTGTTCTTCTTGGTAAACAAAACACAAGCAAAAAATATCATAATAAATTTAGAGCTAGAAGGAAATTAGCTGGAGGTCTGCTTGTCCAACCCCCTTATTTTACACTTATCCAAGTGGTAATGATGTATTGCAGATTCAGCATCAGATACTTCATCACTGAGCTTAATCTCCTGTTACTAGACTGTAGAAATTTTTAAAATAAATCATAACAAGGCAAGTTAACAAGTATTTTTGAAGTGCCTACTATGTATCAGGCATTCTGCTCAATGCAGGGAATAAAAATAAAAGCAAAAACAGTTCCTGCTATCAAGGAGCTCATATTCTAATCAGGGAGACAACATGCAAAAACTACGTATAAAGAAGATACATACAGAGTAAATTGTAGATAATCTCAGTGGGAAGGCACTAACATTTAAGGGAAATGAGGAAAGACTTCTTTCAGAATGTGGGATTTTTAGCTGAGACTTGAAGGAAGCCAGGAGGTCAAAATGAAGAGACAAAAGATGTAGTGTTTTGTGCAAGAAAAGAAAAGGAGGCCAGTATCACTGGATTATAGAGTTCCTGGAAGGGAGTAAGGTATAAGAAGGAAAGGAAGGAAAAAGAAGGAAACGTGTTATAAAGGGCTTATGATAATAAGAAACCACTTAGAGTTTATTGAGTAAGGGAGGACACAATCAGATCTGTGCGTTAGGAAAATCAATTTGGTAGCTGAGTGGAAAATGAACGAGAGGGAAAAAAGTCTTGAGGTAAGTAGACCAACTTATTGCAGTAGTCTAGGCACGACATGATAAGTGCCTGTGACAAGATAGTGGCAGTGTCAGAGGAGAGAAGGGGATATATGCAATAGATGTTACAAAGGTGAAATTGACAGGACCTGTCAGTCAAACAGATTTGATGGGTGATGGGGGACTCCCCAGTGAGAGAGAGGGTGAAGAATTAAGGCTGACACCTAGATTGTGAGCTTGGGTGACTCGAGGATGATGATGGCACCCTCAACAGTAATAGGGAAGATAAGAAAGAGGGGGATGCTTGGAGGAAAAATAAATGAGTTCAGTTTTAGATATGTTGAATTTTAGTTGTCTACAGGATGTCCAGTTTAAGATATCCAATAAGCAGTAAGAGATGTGAGTCTAAAGGTCAGGAGAGAGGTTAGGGCTAGATAAATAGATTTGAGAATCATATGCAGGATGATAATTGAATTCATGTGCACTGATGACATCACCAGAGGAAATCATGTATAGAGAGAAGAGAAAACAACCCAGGATAGAACTTTGGGGAACACTGGCACTTCCATTTTGGAGAGAGGACTAGACTTTGTCCATTCCTGTCCTGGCTCTGCTTCTGATTGGACTTCTGGACCCACAATTATTAATGAATGTGACCTGGATGTAGAGCCAGCAAAAGAAACTGAAAAGGAGCAGTCTACTGGTAGGAAGAAACCAGGAGAGAGCATTATTAGAAAAGTCTAGAGAGGAGAGTATTAAGAAGAAGGTGATTGATAGTGTCACAGACTCTATAGAGGTCAAGAAGGATAAAAATTGAGAAAAAGCCATTAAATTTGGCAATTAAAAAAATCATTGGTTACTTTGAACAGAGTAATTTTAACTGAATTATGACATCAGAAACCAGACTGTAGAGATTTTAGAAGAGAGAAAGAAAGGAAAGGAAGTAGAAATATAAGAAGTTTAGCTACAAAAGACAAGAGAGATATAGGGAGATGACTATTTGTTAGGAGGGTTTTGCAGAGATTTTAATTTAGATATTATGTTAGACTGGAATTCTGAGATTCCTTATATCCTTGAAATTTGGTCATGCAGAATTGGGATTCAAACTCAGATGCTAAGGTTTTAAAATCCAGTACTCTTTGTATTACAACATATATTGGCCTTCAGAAGTAGAATAGCAAGACATTCTTTCTAACAACTGTTGTTATCCTATTCATACCAAACAGGCCCTTTCCCTTTCTTAATCTTCCTCTTATTCCAGAACAGCAAAACATGTATACATAAAACTCTTTCTCTACTATTTGGTATTTATTGCCTCACCTCAGACTGGGTTTTAGTCTTCCTGACATTTTTCTTAAGATGGAACCTTGCCACTTTTTGTACTTGTCCTTATTTACCTTTTCTCATGTGTATAAGAAGTATTGTGTATATTGTGAAGCCTTAAAATGTAATACATAGTATGAGTTATTATTTTTAAATTAGTTTGTTATTGACTTGCCTTTTTAGCTACATATAGACACCTCTTTTTTTCTTCCTTATTTGAATCAACTGTGACCTCACTAGAATTTCTATTTTGAGTGCCTCCCATTCCTTTTTCCCTAACTTCTCTGTTTCTCAGGCTATAGGATCCTATCAATCCAATCTGAACTTTTTGAACTCTAAACTCCTAAAATCCAAGCTAGGTTTTCCACTTCTCATCTGTTATAAATTCTAAGCTGGCCATTCTCTCTCTTACTTTTGTCTTAGAAAAACATAATTACTCCCCAAACTTTTGTATTTAAGCTTTATTAATACAGATTTAAATTAATTGTGTTTACGGATTCTGTGAATTTTTAAATACCCCTTGAGGTAATTTGAGATAATTCTTGCGGAATACAAAGTAAGGTTCAAGAATCACCACTTTGGATAAGAAGCCTGTCATTTAACGGCCGCTATGAGTGAAACTCAAAATTTTGTTTTTTAATTTTTATATTTTTCCCAATTACACATAAAAACAATTTTTAACATTCATTTTTTAAAATACTGAGTTCCAAATCCTCTCCTTCCCACTCTCCCATACACCATCCTTGAGAAGGCAAGCAATGTGATATAGATTATACAAGTATAATCATGCAAAACATAATTCCATATTAGCCATGTTGCAAAAGAAAAAATACAGACCAAAGGAAAAATGCCAAGAAGATTTTTAAAAAGCCTATCTCTATCTGCATTCAAACTTCCATTATTTCTTTCTTTGGAGGTGGATAGCGGTTTTCATCATAAGTACTTTGGAATTGTCTTGGAACATTCTATTGCTGAGAACAGCAAAGTCATTCACAGTTGTTCATCATATAATATTGCTATTACTGTGTACAGAGTTCTACTTCTGCTCACTTCACTTTGTGTCAAATTATATAAGTCTTTCCAGGTTTTTTTGAAACCATCCTGCTTGTCATTTCTTATAGCACAATAGTATTCCATCACAATTATATACCACAACTTGTTCAGCCATTCCCCAGTTGATGGGCATCCCCTCAATTTCCAGTTCTTTACCATCACAAAAAGAGCTGCTACAAATATTTTTGTATATATCGGTTTTTTTTCCTTTTTTAAAAATCTCTTTGGGATACAGACGTAGTAGTGGTATTGCTGGGTCAAAGCGTATGCATGGTTTTATAGCACTTTGGGCATAGTTTCAAATTGCTCTCCAGAACAGTTGGATCAGTTCATAATTCTACCAATAGTGCATTAGTGTTTCAATTTTCCCATATCACCTCCAACATTTATCATTTTCCTTTTCTGTTATATTAGCCAGTCTGATAGGTGTGGGGTAGTATCTCAAAGTTGTTTTAATTTGAATTTTTCTAATCCATAGTAATTTAAAGCATTTTTTCGTATGACTATAGATAACTTTGTTTTCTTCTTTTGAAAACTGTCCATATCCTTTGACCATTTATCAGTTGGGGAATGACTTGTATTCTTATAAATTTGATTCAGATCTCTAAATATTTAAGAAATAAGACCTTTATCAGAGAAACTGTGTAAATTTTCCCCCCCAGTTTTCTGCTTTCCTTCCAATCTTGCCTGTATTGATTTTGTTGGTGCAAAACTTTTAATCTAATATAATCAAAATTATACATTTTACAACCTGTAATACTGTCTTATTCTTGTATGGTCATAAATTCTTTCTTTATGCATAAATCTGACAGGTGGAATTTTCCATGCTCCCCTAATTTGCTTATGGTATCACTATTTGTGTCTAAATCATGTGCCCATTTTGACCTTATCTTGGTATACAGTGTGAGGTGTTCTATACCTAGTTTCTGCCAAACTGCTTTCCGATTTTCCCAGCAATTTTTCTCAAATGATGGATTATTGTCCCAAAAGTTTGGATCTTTGGATTTAGCAAACACTACATTACTTTCTACTGTGTGTAGTGTACCTAATTTATTTCACTGGTCCACCACTCTATTTCTTCATCAGTACCGTATTGTTTTGATGATTACAGCTTTGAAATACAATTTGAGATATGGTACTCCTAGACCACTTTCCTTCACACTTTTTTTTCCCATTTATTTCTTTGATATTCTTGACCTTTTGTTCTATCAGATGAATTTTGGTTATTATTTTTTGTCATATATAGTTTGTTGGTAGTTTGATTGGCATGGCACTGAATAAATAAATTAATTTAGGTAGAATTGTCATTTTTATTATATTGACAAAGCCTACCCATGAGCAACTGATTTTTTTTATTTGTTTAGATCTGACTTTATCTGCATGAAAAGTGTTTTGTAATTACATTCATATGGTTTCTGGGCTTGTCTTGGCAGGTAGACTCCCAATTATTTCACATTGTCTGCAGCTGTTTTAAATGGAATTCTTCTTTCCATCTCTTGCTGCTTGACTTTGTTGGTACTATATAGAAATGCTGATGAATTTATGTGGGTTTATTTTGTATCTTGCAATTTTGCTGAAGTTGTTAATTATTTCAATTAGTTTTTTAGTTGACTCTCTGGGAAGGCTTCTATCCACATTACAGAAATAATGCTTGCTGATGGTTTTAGATAGATGATATTAATCATTTTAAGGAAAGTTCCATTTATTTCTGTGCTCTCTAGTGTTTTTAATAGTAATGGGTGTTATTTTGTCAAAAGTTATTTTTGCATCCATTGAGATAATCTCATGATTTCTGTTAGTATTGTTATTGATAGTGTCAATTTTACTGATAGTTTTCCTAATATTGAACCAGCCCAGCATTTCTAGTATAAATCCCACATGGTGATAGTATATTGCTATAATCTCCTTGCTAGTATTTTATTAAAAATTTTGCATCAATATTCATTAAGGAAATTGGTCTGTGGTTTTCTTTCTCAGTTTTAATCATTCCTGGTTTAGGTATCAGCATCATATTTGTGTCACAAAAGAAATTTGGAAGGACTCCTTCTTTGCCTATTTTTCCAAATAATTTATATAGTATTGGAATTAATTGTTCTTTAAATGTTTGGTAGAATTCACTTGTGAGTCATTTGGACCTGGGGATTTTTTTCTTAGGCAGCTAATTTGTGGCTTGTTCAATTTCTTTTTCTAATATAGGGGCATTTAAGTATTCTATTTGCCCTTTTGTGAATCTGGGTAATTTATATTTTTGTAAATATTCATCCTTTTCACTTAGATTGTTAGATGTATTGGCATATAGTTGAGCAAAATAGCTCCTAATAATTGCTTTAATTTCATCTTCATTGGTGGTGAATTAACCCTTTTCATTTTTGATAACTAGCGATTTGATTTTCTTTCTTTTTTCAATCAGATTAACCAGTGTATCTATTATATTGTTGTTGCTGTTTTTCGTAAAACCAGCTCCAGCTTTATTTCAATGGTCAGTGGTTTTTAAATCTCTCACCTCTCCCATTTGTCCTTTGCCATCTTATTTTTTTAGTTGTTAGTCATTTTTCAGTTGTGCCTGACCCCATTTGGGGTTTTCTTGGTAAAGATGCTAGAGTGGTTTGCCATTTTCTTCTCCAGCTCATTTTACAGATAAGGAAACTGAGGCAAACAAGGCTAAGTGACTTGGCCAGGGCTGCACAGATGGTAAGTGTCTGAGGACAGATTTGAACACAGGAAGAGGAGACTTTCTGATCCCAGGTGCTGACACTCTATCTTGCCATCTTTTTTACTACCCACTTACTACTCTACCTATTCCCATGTTTATTTCATTGTCTGGATCAGCTATCCCTGCGCTCTGTTACCTTTCCTTCCCCAAAGTCTGCTGCTTTATTCTCCCTGTCTCTCATACTGTGCTGCCATTTTACAGGTATTTACAAGCCATTAATTCCTAGCACATTTGTATTTCATTTAGATCATCTTGTCTCCCTTGCAGCACAAAGAACAGATGATATTGCATTTTCTTTTTGTTGTTTCAGGTGATGACACCAGAATGGAGAAGGTAGAACTGGCTCCAAAGCAGATTTCTTCTGATATAGCATCTCATGGTAGTAATATTCCTGGCACCCTCAATATGAATGTTCCCCAGGTTTTAAAATTTAGAGAAACCTGTGAAAGTGATGGCAGATTCAAAAGAAGGCAGGGCAATCCCTCTCGCAAAAAACAGTATAAATGTGATGAATGTGGTAAAAATTTCAGTCAAAGCTCAGCCCTTATTCTTCATCAGAGAATCCACAGTGGAGAGAAACCCTATGAATGTGATGAATGTGCAAAAGCTTTCAGCAGAAGCTCAATTCTTATTCAACATCGGAGAATCCACACTGGGGAGAAACCTTATATATGTCATGAATGTGGGAAAGCATTCAGCCAAAGTTCCAATCTTTTTAGACATAAGAGAAGGCACAATAAAGAAAAAATCCTAACAGTGTCATGAGTGTTTGAAAGCAATCAAAATCTTTTCATCAGAAGAGAAGACTCAATAGACAAAGATCCTTTTGATGAAATCAGTATAGTTTTAGTGGGCATAAATTCCCTGTTGAAGATCAGAAAAGCCACTGTGGAGAATGTGAAACGTTAATCACCATTTCTTCCTTATATAGTAGTACAGTACCATCCCTATCAGACATTTGAGAATCCTAGCTCTACTTCAGGCAGTCACCCTTAAGTCCCACTTGTTGGGGATAATCTATTAATTTATTCTGTTTCCATTGCCATGTCAGCTAGATGGCTGTTTGCCCCCTTCTCTAAAAATGTCCTTCCTAGATAATTTCCCCCTATTTAGAGTAAATGTAAAAGTTTTATAAGGTAATTCGTTGAAAAGATGGGCACTTTTTATTTTTAAAAATGCAGCATAGGAATTCTGGCGACAAGTCAGAAGACATCTTTTTCAGCTCTTCTATTAGGCCTATTGATTTTGGCCTGGATCTAGAATTTCATTGGTATAGAGAATATTTTCCACTGTACATCCACAATTCACACTATGGTCACACAGCTTGTATATATGAGAGATAGGACTTGAACTCATATCTACCAGATTCCAAAGCCAACACTCTTATGTACAACACCATGTAGTCTCTCTTGTTATCACACTTTAATATAAAGATTCAGGCTTATAGGAAGAGTAGCCAGAGAGTTATAGGCCCCAAAATACATGGTTACCATTATCTAGGATGAGAGATTATTGAGGTCAAGAAATGGACAAGACTCCCAGGTTAGAAAACAGGCATACTATGATTGAGGCTAGTAAGAATGTAAATAGTCTGTAGTTTAGAGCCAGCTCATTGACAAGAACAAGATGTTTCCCTGTGTTTGTAGGAAGCCTCTAGCTTTAAAAAATGTGTATATAAAATAAGCTACCAAATCAGATTATCACATGATATGAAAGTATATTGTAACAAATTGATGTTATGCTAAGTGGTCGTAGCATCATCATCATCTAGGAAATGGAAAGTTGTAGAGTAAGGCTTTTTCAGTGTATCTGCAGCATTGTCTAAAAGGATCCCCTTTATTAGCTGAGTTGTATATCTAATTATATTGGCAAGCATATCTTTATAATGAAGTAGTACGATTGATTGGGCTATTGCATCTTATTGCAAGTATCACTTAAAATTGAGGCAAAGGGAACTTTAGATAATTTTGTTACAAAATTTCAGAAGTCTCAGTACCTGAGAGGCTATTTAGTCTAACCCATAACTTAACAGTATACACCAGATAGCTCAATACCAGAAAAAGATAACTAGCTAACACAACTATATAATTTAGTTAATGGATATATTTCCTCAACATAAATTAAAAATTGACTTGCTAATACAAATAAATCTTGAGATTTGGGGTAAGCTTAACCACTGTTTCCAAACATAGAGTTGAGATTTGAGTCTGGACTCATGAGGATACCACAAAAATGTAGAAATTGGTAATACCTGATTTAAAGAACTTGCCAAAATCTTTTGTATACATTCTTCAAAATTGAAGTTAAAAACATGTCCGCTATAGTTTATAAGTTTTAAAGATTTATTATATTTTTCAGCAGCTAATCAATACATATTGGGCACATATAGTAGCACAGAAATTGTACCTACATGTTTAATGGAAACAAGTGTTCTATTTGAAAATAAAGTAACTGGTTTATTTATTTAAATTACTTTGACAGAAACTGATAAACTAATTTTCCCTTTTGAGGGATTCATTATGCGTATTATAATAATACACATTTTGTTAGTGATAATGCCTGTGTAACATACTCCATTGACTATATTCTTCTGTTATGCTTCAATTACACTACTGGGTAGAAAAACATCAGATATAAAGATGAGACATGAGAAAGAAGAAGGAACAGAAGGTACCTGTAAGTGGCCCTTTGGTCTACTTGTAACTGCCACAAAGTATAATCATTTCACACTTCTCCCAAGATTATTAATATATCTAGTGCTTTGGATGATTCCAAAAGGTTGGAATTCGTGTGGGCCAGTTAACAATATATGTGACAAATACATAGCAACTAGTCATTAAAAAAAGCCAGTAGGGAGAAATGAATGCACAATGGAGCTTGTTTATAAATATGCCGATAGTAATTATGTCATGTGGACTATAGAGTTAAGTATGTATATATGACTATGTATTGATATAATGTATTATTTTATGTTATAGAAAATGAAAAGGTCTTTTGTTTGGGACTCATTCTCCTTGTGGCTGAAAGGAACAAACCAATGACCAATAAAGCAGTGACCTTCCCATAGATAATCATTGTTGTGTGTTATTCCCCCAATAATTAGATGATAAGTCATTGCTTTAGGACTTAGATACCTTTCATATGAAACTGAACAGTCTAAATCAGGTAAACTGAGGGGTACACCTACCCTCATTTGGTTAAGCATTCATTCAGCAAGCATTTATTAAGTGCTCAAAACATACCAGGCTCTGGGGATCCAAAACAAAAACAACCCCTGCGCTGATGTTCTGCTGGGGGAAACAATGATTATGTGGATAAGTAAGTACAAAAAATATTCAAAATAATATGGGATAGGGGAGACGTTCTGAACAATTGGAGGAATCAGGAAAGAACTTGGGTAGAAGATGACACTTGTACTAAGCCTAGTTGAAAAATAGGAATTCAAAAAAACAAGTGAGGAGGGGAGTATATTCTAGGTATGGGAGATGACCTACGGCAAGGCTCAAAGATGGGAAATGAATGTCACGTACAGCAAGTTACGCCAATCTGTATACAGTGTGTGTAAAGGGTACGACATATGATAAGCCTCAAAAGATAGGGCATACCCAGATTATGAAGAGCTTATAAACACCAAGCAACAAAGGAGTTTGTATTTTATTCTAGCAATTTAGTATGACATGATCAAAACTTCCCCTGGGGACATCTGATCACAGTATTCTTCCTTTTTTTTTTTTTTTTTGCCTTATGGTAAGGCGATCGGGGTTTATTGACTTGCCCAGGGTCACACAGCTAGTAAGTGTTAAGTGTCTGAGGCTGGATTTGAACTCAGGACCTCCTGACTCCAAGGCCAGAGCTCTATTCACTGCGCCATCTAGCTGCCCCAGTATTCTTCCTTTCTCAACAGTTGTTTTGTTTTTTGTTTTGTTTTTTAGTGAGGCAATTGGGGTTAAATGACTTGCCCAGAGCCACACAGCTAGTTAGTGTTGTGTGTCTGAGACCACATTTGAATTCAGGTCTTACTGACTCTGCCCCCCTAACAGTTGAACAGGCCCTTCAAAGTTTTAGAAAACATGAGGTCGCTATCTGGCAAATGTAGACAATTTCTAGGCACAATCAAGATATTTAGTACCTGCTATTAGTTAAATGAAATAACCTCCAAACACAGAAGATTTAGGGAGGATGTGATAGTTGTCTTCAAATATTTTAAGTCTCATCATGGAAGATATATTAGACTTGTTTGGCTTAGACCTAGAGGGTAGACCATATAGCAATGGATATTTTTGCAGAGAAACAAACTTTGGCTTCAAATAAGGAAAATATTCCTAACAGCTATCTAAAAAATAGAATGGGCTGTTTCAGTTCAACAAACATTAAGTGACAACGATGTGAAATACATTGCCCTGAGAGCTGGGGGTACAAAAACGAAACTAAATAAGTTTCTGCCTTCAAAGAATATACATTCTATGGTGGAAAGGTAGTGGGTTCCCCTTAACTGAAGGTGTTCCAGCAGAAGCTGGAATCACAGAGTGGATTAGGATTGAATTTAAATGGCCTCTGAGGCCCAAATTCAGATTCTGAGATTCTGTGATTTTACAAGTCTTTAATGCTTTTGATTGCAAGAACTAAAACTTCGAATTAGTTGTAGTAGAAGAATATTAGCCAATGTACCTTACTTGTTGAGGTTTAGGGGTCCTGGGACTGCGATAGCAACACGTGGGTCCTGCCCGAATGAATTTGACCCAAGCCTTTTTGCAGCCAAAGACAAGGTTTATTAAAACACAGATAGAGGGTGGGTTTGATTCTAATAATCTGCTCTGGGTAGATGAGATTGACTCTTTATAGAAAAAGGATCTGGATGAAAGTGGCCAGTAGGCTGGGGTGATTGTGAGGTAACAGAGAACCCCAGGGACCTGGACCATGTGGCCAAGAGAGAATGGGGTCTAGATAGAATGAACGGTGGGAAGTAGCCAGGGGCTACTGGAGAGAACAGACAATGGAGGACTGGGCAACAGAGAATTGGGAGATTGGGTTTAGGCTAGAATGGGTCAGTGCCTCTGGCAAATGCCAGAGACTTGGATCAGGTGGGAAAATTCAAGGAGAGTTCAAGGTGGGGTTTCCAGGGCCGATAGATACATGGGACCCAAATTCTTTTGGGGTAAGGGGTGAAGGTTTCAGCTTGGGCCAGTACTCGGTCATACTGACTTAAGAAAAATTTGCCCAGTGAGTTGTCTATTCTGGCTCAAGCTTTTTGTTAGAACTAATAAAGCAGAAATCAAAATTTTTGACCAAAAGGACCAAATTTTCAATTTCCCCAGCCATTTAACCAAAAGAAATTTAGCTCTGCATTTGTTTTCAAGCATTCCTGAAATTCTATATCATCTGACCCAGTTTTCCTCCCTCCTTTCATAAAAAAAAAAAAAATCTTGTAAGAAGTGTATATACAGTTCTGGTCTTTTTTATTTCTTTGTGTATTTCATATTTATAATTTTTATGGTATAATATCCCATTACATTGATATACCATAATGTATGCATTCTCCAAATAAACAGCAAGCATCTATTAAGTGCCTACTATGTACCAAGCATTGTGGTAGGTGGTGGACTCCAAAAACAAAAGTGAAACAGTCTCTACCCTTAAAGAGCTTACATTCTAAAGGTAATTTGAGGGATGTGGGTGCAGGTGCAGAAAGACACTAGGAAAGTCTTCATGTGATGCTTGCGCAGTCTTAAATGATTTAGGATATGAGTAGTTTCAATTTTTTTGTCCTTTCCAAATCTTCCTTCCTTGCCCCCCCATATGTGTGTGTGTGTGTGTATTTTCCCATTCTGACATTTTAAATGACTTATTTTAAAGTCTTTGCCATCCTAGCAGGTACAAAGTGGCATCCTGACATTATGTAACCTTCTAATGAATGCATTACTGGAAAGCTATTGGAGAAATTGTTTCAGACACCTAGCTTAACAATTGTTATCTGTGGAAAAGTAGGTTATTGGTAGGTTATAGAGGGTTTTAAAGACCAAATCGTTTATAAGTTTCAAAAGTCTTAGTGCAGGTTTCAATTTTAGTATCCAAACTGCACTGACTTTTGCAATGCCTTGTATTTTATTCTAGAGTCATTAGGAAGCCAGTGGAGTTTAATTAACAAGGGAACGTCATGGTCAGTCCTGTACTTTAGGAAAATCACTCTCTCAGCCGTGCGGAGGGCGGATTGGAAAAGGGAAAGACTCGAGATAACGAAGACCTGGTGGTGACTTCAGTGGCTTCGTGCACAGTGAGATGCCAGATGATGCTAGAGATCCTGTGGAGGTGGAAAGGCAAGACTGGGCAACTGATTGTAAATGTTGGGCAGGACAGGATGAGGACAGTCGCCAAGGTTATGAATAGAGCTTACTGCCCTAAACTGTTCCAAATCTATGGTCATGTGCTTCCAGGGCTCCCCACTCCGGTTTGAGTCACTTCTCTCCTTGCCCGAGCAGGAGAGGACCGGAAGCAGCTCCGCCAGGAGGCTTCTGGGAGAACGTTTTCCTAACATCCTTTCACGACAGCCCGGAAAGGCGAGCCGCCTCCTTCCAAGGCTGGGGGCGAGAACGAGGGGTCTGCGAGGGAAGCCGAGTCAGGCAATCAGAAGTGGGGGGAGCCAGGAGGCTTCATCCTTGTGTCCGCAGGGCTACACGTGGAGGAACCGCCGCACAGCCAGAGATTTGCGAGGAAGGACAGGGAAGGGGGGAGAGGAGAACTTGCGCTTCTCCATGGCAACCCTCTTGTGACGTTTTAAACCCCTTCTCCATTCCCGGCTGCAGAGCCGTTGAGAGTTGAGTATTCCAAGGGAGGTTCCTGTCTGGAGAAAGTAGGGGCCGTGCGCGAGGGTTTCTGGGAAGAGTAGTCCGGGCTGGGTGTGTGCGGAAGTCTTCAAAGGGTCTTCTTGGAATTAGGTGAGTGCTGGGTGGAGGGACTGAAGGAGCTCTGGCCCTCCGCACGCCGCCTCCGCGGCTCTTCTGGGATGGCCCCGGGGGTGCTCGGAGGCTCCGGACCCTGCAGCCGAAGCAGGACCGTTGTTTGTAGAGCGTAGGCCTGCCCTGTCCGTGTCCTCTACTCCTCGCTGGCCCTTCCCAGCCCCACTCCTTCCTTACTGAGCTGAAGGGGAAATTTTTCTCAGAAAATAGGCCAAAAAAAGGGAGTGTTTTCTTAAGTAGCTTTCGATTAATCGTTGCTCTTTCTGGCCAATAAATGAACAAACATTTTTTAAAAATACATACTAAGTGCCAAGCACTATACTAAGCCCTGGAAAAACACCAACTAAATAATGATGCATTCTGTCAAGGAGCTTACATTATATTGAGGAAAACGACGTTTACGTAATTAAGGATACACAAAATAAAAACAAGATAATTTAGGAGAGAGCACTACCATCTCGGGAAAGGTTTCGTGCAGAAAGTGTTGCTTGAGTTGTTTTGAAGGAAACAGATTAAGAGGCAGAGATGAGGGAGTGCATTCCAGGCATAGGATGCAGCCAGTGCAAAGTCGAGAAGATGGGGAGATGGAGTGTCCTTTGTGAAGACCAGCAAGGTCAGTCTGACTGGACTGGAAGAGTGTGGGGAAAAACGAGTGGATATATAAGGGAGTGTGGAAAGGCAGGTTGGGAAAAGGTTGTGAAGGGTTTAAAATGTTAAAACCTTTTTGTATGTGATATTTGTTTGAATATTTGTTTGAATAAAGTATTAAGGAACCACTGGAGTTCATTGAGTAAGAGAGTTATATGGTCACACCTGTGCTTTAGGAAAACCATTCTAGTAACTTTGTGGTGAATGGATTGGAGTGGAGAGAAATAAGGCAAGAAGAGAGAATGGGAGACTATTGCAGTAGTCTGTGCAGTAGGTGATATAGGCCTGAACGAGGGTGGTGAGTGTGTGAGAAGATGGGTGACATTTGAGATGTTAGAGAGATAGAAAGATAAATATTTGGCAACTCAGTAAATGTGTGGAGTAAGGAAAGGAGGTTTCCAAAAACAAACAAAAACTTTGAGCCCAGTCTGGATTAAGAATGAAAGAGCAGACTACTAGACCCTGTTGCTGATAAGGGGCTTATCTCTGACTCCTAGGGTTGATTGGAGTCCCTTTCTCCTGGTTAGTACATTATGATCTTTTTGAAGAGGAATAATGAATCCTTGATCATAGTTACTGAGTAGTCTTGATTCTTGTTCAGTTTATTTAAATAAATAAAGAAATGAACAGGGCCTAAGGTGAAGGTAGAAGTGGGTAAAATTTTTCCATCACTTATTTTTGGTTCACCGGAGGGAAAAAATGGTGCCCTGGCCACCCACAACCAAAAAGCAGTAAAGACCCATATAAGATTTAAGCAGATGTTGCCATAGCATTAAAGATTTTACTCTACCACCTATTTCATCATGCTTAATGCTTTTATAGACTGTATGTATTGTAAATTATTTGAAGACAAAATTAGGGGAGCTGCTTTAAATTTTTGAGAACCACTTTCTGGACATCAATGAATACATTATCCACAGTTCTTAGGTAGTTATTTCCCTAGAATCTGACCCATACACTGGAGGTTTCTCACAGATTTTTAGTTCATTCTTTGTCATTCTAGTTAATCTTCTATTTGTTGTTTTCACAATCATCTCTGTGACTATGTGAATAATAACATTGGTGGTAATTTCTCATATTCATTTAAATTACTCTTTAAAATTTACAGAAGCTTTTTACAATTTTAGAGGCAGTTGGTGACACAGTGGGTAGAGCACTGGGCCTGGAGTCAGTGAGACCTGAGTTCAAATCCAGCCTTAGACACACACTAGCCTTGTGACCCTGGGCAATTCTCTTAAACTGTCAGCCTCAATTTCCTCAACTGTAAAATAGGGATAGCGCCAGGCATAGTGCCAGGTACATGGTAGTTGCAATATGAATGCTTATTCCTTCTCAGTTTGTCATAACACATCTGTGAGGGAAGAAGTACAAGTGTCATTCTCCTTTTACAGATAAGGAAATTGAAGCTCAGGGAAATTTAAAGTTACAGAGCCAATAAGTAGTAAAGCAAAGACTAGCATTACAACCAGAATAGTTAGAGTGCTTTGGCTCTTCTGACCAGATTTTGCTTTCCTTTCATAAAGTTGTGGTTTACATAAGGAATAAATACCAATGTTTCTTTATTCAGTCTTATTTTTCCATCTCATAGAAAAGCAAATATCCTTACTAAATGACTAGGTCTTGACTAGCATTCATTATCATATGTAGTTATTTGTTAGGGTTAGTTATTTGTTGCTGCTGATTTTTTTTTGTTCGATATTCCAGAAGTGGCTTTGAAGAGAAGCTGAAGGTAACTAAGACTGTACACCAGCTGAAGTAAGTTTCCTTCCGAGATAGTCTCATTCAGAATGTCTGCAGAATTGAGTGAGGATTCAATATTGATTTCTCCTACTCTAACTGAAAAAGAAAGTATTTTGAGAGTGAAGATAGAAGAGGACCGCTCCTATGAACAGGGATCTAGCGTCCACTGGAACAGCTGCCATGGTCCAGAGATCTTTCGCCAACAGTTCAGGCAGTTTGGGTACCAAGATTCACCAGGGCCCCGGGAAGCCCTAAGCCAACTCCGTCAGCTTTGCCGTCTCTGGCTTAGACCAGAGAGGCACACAAAGGAACAGATCCTAGAGCTGCTGGTCCTGGAGCAGTTCCTGACCATCTTGCCCAAGGAACTCCAGACCTGGGTTCGAGAACATCATCCAGAAAATGGGGAAGAGGCAGTGACCATTCTAGAAGATTTGGAGAGAGAGCTTGATGAACCAGGACATCAGGTAGGAAGGGGGAAAGGTTATCTAAAATAACTTCTTGATACTCTTTTCTTTCTATATTTTGAGGACACCACTCTCTCCTGGTTTTCCTCCTACCTATCTGACCTCGATTTCTCTTACTCACTTTCTGGATCTTCCTCTAGATCACACCCTCTAACCATAAGTGTCCCCAGGGACACCTATTCTTGGCCCACTTCTCTTCTATACTACTTCACTTGGTGATCTCATCAACTCCCATGGATTTAATTACCATCTCTATACTGATGATTCTTAAATCTACCAATTCTGCCCCATTCTCCTAACTTCCCATTTTGCATCTCCAGCTGCCCTTAAGACATCTCTAGCTGCATGTTCAGTAGAAATCTGAAACTCAATATGTCCAAAATAGAACTCATCTTCCCCTCTAAACCCTTCCCCACTCCTGCCTTCCCTATTACTGTAGAAGGCAACACCATCTTCCCATCCCTCAGGCTCACAGCCTAGGAGTCATCCTGGATTTTTTACTATCTCACACCCCCACCCATCACCCCCTGTCCAATCTGTTGCCAGGGCCTACTGATTTCACTTTTGCAGCATCTCTCCAATATGCCCACTTCTCTCCTCTGACACTGCCACCACTCTAGTGCAAGCTTTCATTGCCTCATACCTGGAATATTTCAGTAGCCTGCCCCATTCCAATCCATCCTCCATTTAGCCACTAAAGTGACTTTCCCAAAGTGCAGGTCCTGTCATGCCACACACACAAACACACCTCTGCTCGATAAACTCCAGTGACTTCCTGCTGCCTCCAGGAGCAAATACAAAAATGCTGTTTGGCATTCAAAACCCTTCATAATCTAGCCCCACTCCTACCTTTCCATTCCTCTTATACCTTATTCCCTGACACATGCACTTCAGTCTAGTAACACTGACTTCCTGGCAGTTCCACACAAGACACTCCATGTCTTACGTCTAGGCCTTTTCTCTGGTTGTTCCCCATTTCTGGAAAGTTCTCCATTCTCCTCTATGACTGCTGACCTACCTGGATTCCTTTAAATTCTAACCAAAATCCCACCTTCTACAGCCATCCCTAATCCCTAACTTCAGTACCTTCTTTCTGTTATTTCCTGTTTATTCTGTAATATAATTTGAGATATATAGATATTTGTGTGTTTGCATGCTGTCTTTCCCATTAAATTGTAAGCTCCTTGAGAACAGGGACTGTCTTTTGCCTCTTTTTGTATAGATTACTAAATGTGTGGGTGTGGACCTTTGGACTTGTCTTGGGGCATCTATTGGAATAGTGAGAAAATAACTTATTTCATTTTGGAGAATGAACCGGTTTGGAATTAGAAGTCCCTATGTGTATCTGTTTTCTCCTGTTATCTGATCCATTTCTAGGTGATAGAATGAAACTATCTTTGCCTTGTTGATTTTTCCTGGAATGTTCTTTTTTCTCTGCTTTATTTCCGATTCTAGTTGTGATTCCCTTCCAACCACCTATCCTCCCCCAATAACTAAATTGATTCCAGGTCTCATTCAGTGGTCGAGCACAAGAAGACCTTATAGAGGAGATGGAACCTCAGGAAACAGCTGAGGAGTCATCAAATATACAGCCCTTGCCCATGGAAAATGAGCTTAAGTGGGAAGCCTGGGAATTCCACCCGCTAAGACACAGTGGTAAGGAGCTGACTTCTGTCTGGTTTAGAATATGTAGCACAAAGATTTTGGTGCCTTTATCAATAGTGTCCTAGAAAACTTTTCTTGCTCATTTACCTTTCATTAGGAAATGCCCCTCTCCAAGCAAGAAAACTGCCTCCCTGTATATGTAGTATGCTCCCTAGTATAATTTTAGCATAACTTCTTGTTATCAGATTGTCATGAACTTCTAGGAATTTTTACTCCCACATGTCAGTTGCATCAGTTATTTCTCCCCTTGTAAAAATTTCCATGATAATTTATTTACCCAAAAAGAGTAAGTTTTCAAATTACCAAGATCTCTTCTAAATACTGAAGTAATTAATTTGATTTATTTTTAATGTGAGATATCACAAGCTTATCTCATTAGAGTTGTCATTACTGTGCTGTTACCCTGTGCACTGTACTTCACCCTAATATTCTATGACATTCTGTATTTTATTTTAAATCTCAATAATAATTTTGTTTAGCTGATATTAGTGTGTCCCTCCTCCCTTTACCTTCCTCCCTCCTGCCTTCCAGCTCCTTAGCCTATACATTTCAGGAATATTTTCTGACTGATCACCATTCATCTGATGGCTAAACCCTTACTCCCTTAAAAAGAAGGAATGTTGCAGCAGCTCAGAATCATCAAAGCTTAGTATTGGAAAGGGCCTCAGAGGTCATATTTCATCCAAATACCTGAAGGATGATTTCATGTTTGAACACTTCAAGTAACATTGAATTCTCACTACGTTTTTAAACTTTCTTAAATGTGTTAATTACATTTTTATTTTCCTCTCCAATAATAACTTTCAAATTCTATCAACTCGTGTAGGTCAGAATTCAAAGAAAAAATACAAAATTCCATGATTCCTATGTTGTTACTTCTCTGACCATATCCTTTTATCTATATTTTCCAATCCTATATTCGGCTTGATCTTCTCACTCTCTGTTTGCTTCTGGTTTTGATCCCTTCATTTAATAGGTCCTTGACTGCTTTTCTACTCATTATGAAAGGCTTTTTTTACTGCCCATAATAATGATTACCTCATTTTTCTCATATTTTCTCACTTCTCACTAATGGTAATTTTGTTTTACCCTCTCTTTCACACTCACCCTTATTATTATTATGATAACATTTCACAGAAATATACAAACCATTAATGTTAATGTGTTTATATTTTATTTATCTGTCTCCAGTACGTTCCCTTCTCGAAACACAGGGAGTAAGTAACATTTGTGTTTTCTATTGTTTCAGATGGTGATACTCAGACTGAGAATGGGGAGTCCCCTCCAGATCAAGAGATTTCTTCAGGCATAGAACCACAGGATGATATTTCTGGCACCCTTAATATAGACGTGGCTCAGATTTTCAAATACGGAGAAATCTGTCAGCGTGAGGGCAGATTTGAAAGAAAGCAGGGAAATCCCTCTCGTAAAAAACAGCATAAATGTGATGAATGTGGTAAACTCTTCAGTCAGAGCTCGGCCCTGATTTTACACCAGAGAATCCACAGTGGGGAGAAACCCTATGAATGTGATGAGTGTGGGAAAGCCTTCAGCAGGAGTTCAATCCTTATTCAACATCAGAGAATCCACACTGGAGAAAAACCATATAAATGTCATGAATGTGGGAAAGCTTTCAGTCAGAATTCTGGGCTTATTAATCATCAGAGAATCCATACTGGGGAAAAACCCTATGAATGTAGTGAGTGTGGGAAAGCTTATAGTCAAAGCTCAAATCTTTTTAGGCACCAGCGAAGACACAGTGAAGAAAAAATCCTATCAATGTCATGAATGTGTAAAAATATTCTCATAGAGCTTGGGCCTTTTTCATCAGAAAAGAAGGTGTAATGGGGGAAGGAGGGAATCAGTTTAGTTTTAGTGGACTAAGTAGTTCCCTCTTAACATCATCCATGTGGAAAATGAGGGAGATCTGTAGTCATTATTTCTACTTTATCTTTATGTTGTCACATCTTTCTATAGACTCTCAGAATCTTAACCTTATTTTTGATATTTATTTCTAAATTTCCTGTTTGTAAACTCCTCTGCCTGCCCTATTTCAAAGCTTTCGTGTTAAGACAAGTAAATTGTTTCTGTATTTAGAATATGAGTCCCTTCAAAGACAGATTTTATGTCCTATTAAAAATGCAACACCAGAATTCTAAAGACCAAATCCCAAAAGCACCATTTCTGACTTTTAAATTATATCGTCTTTTGTTAAAATCTTTTTTGCAAATCAGGTCCTAGGAATTTGATACATAGCTCAAAAGAAAGAGGTAGACCTTTTAATGTAAAACAAAAGGAAATTAATCTATATACATTAAGTGCCTACTGTGTGCTAGGCACTGTGCTAAGCTCTGGGCATAGAAAAAGTCAAAAAACTACCTGCTCTCACGGAGCTCACACTCCAGTAAAGGAGACCACAAACATGTACAAACAAGCTATCTACAGGTAAAGGCATAGAGGCATTAAGAGGGATTGAGAAAGGTTTCTTGGAGAAGATGGATTTTTGTTGGGACTTGAAGGAAGCCAGTAGGCAGAGATGAGAGGGAGAGTATTTCAGGCAAGGGGGACCAGGCCAGTGTCACAGGATTGAAGAGTATATAGCAAGGAGTAAGGTATAAGAAGAATGAAAATGGGTGGGGAACAAGGGTGTGTTGCCCCTTATAGTGCCAAACATAGGATTATGTATTTGATCCTGGAGGTATTAAGGAGCCACTAGAATTTATTGAGTAGGGAGAGGACAGGTCAGAGTCAAACGTTGAAAAGTAGACATGGCACTTAAATCAGAAAAGGGATAAAAAGTAGACATGGCACTTAAATCAGAAAAGGGATAAACTCTTTTATTGAATAAGGATTGATTGATAGTAAGAGTCCATGCATTATGAGCACAATTATCTATCTTTTAAAAAAATGTCCAAAGCTGTCTAATTTGTAGATAGTTTACTGATGAAGTTACAGTACCAACATATATCTTATCAGGAAACAGTCAATTAAAATATAGTTTTAAGATGGGAAGTTTTAGGATATGAGAATGTGTTGTAATGGCACATGTTGACAGGATAGTGGTGTCATCCAGGTCAAATTGGAGTCTAGGAAAAGGATAGTTGGAGAATAAAATTTATCAGCCTGTCCCTAGCATTGTCTATTTGATAATTAAATACCTACTATGTGCTTAGCCCTGTGCTAATCAGTGGGTTTACAAATAACTAATTCCAACTTTCAAGGGGCTTATATTCTAATGTGGAAGGTAAGAAGTTCACTGAGAGCGCCAGATGCCGGCATAAGTATCTAGTCAATCCAGCCAATACATTGCTATGGATGAGAACCACTGAGATTGAAAAAGAAGTAGTGAGCACTTACTGTGTATAAAGCACTGCAAGTTCCTCAATGTTGCTGTAGCTTGGTACCTACCACTATGGATTATAAACTAGTTTTCTGCTGTAAATCAGTGTCTTGAGAATGTAGGGGAGTATAGACTTTTTCTTCCCTAGGGTGTAATTATTGCTGAGTAAGCTGATCCCTTAGAGCTAATGCCACCACCAGAAATCTAAGAGTTTTAGATTAAAGAGTTTGCAAGCAGCCCTTGTTAGCATTCTTCATCTCCAAGTTGAAGCTGCTCTCTATTGTGAGTTCTAAAGCTTTTCAAAAGATCTTGTCTTAATAGCTAACCACTCAGACACCAGGTACCCTTAAAGTTATACCTTTATGTTTAATTGATCACGTGTTCTGTTTAAAAATAAAGTTTTTGGTTTGTTCATGTCTAAAATACCTATCAGACTTCACAAAACTAATTTTCAGTGTTACCAGGTTTCTTAACTTGTCTATAGGGTCATTATAATAATACACATATTATTAGTCACTAGACTATGTACTCCATAGCTCTGTATCCCAGGTTCATTGCTTGGTGGAAATCACCAGTAGCAAAATAAGGCTCTGGGAAAGAGATGGGGAAAAAAAACATGTTTATAGTGACCCTTTGATGCTGACCCTTAGGAATTTTAATCATTTTAGTCTCAAAAATAATTAACTATCTAATGCTTGGAGTGCCTTCAAAGTAAAATGGGATTGTCATTGGCCAGTTAAAAATAGTGGTAAATGAAAGGGCAGCAGGATGCAGAAAGGAGCCTGTTAATAGATATACTGATCACGATTAACCAAGAAATGTGCTTTATAGATTTAGCAGTGTACAAATATGTCTTGATACTGTGTATTTTAAGTTAGGAAAAGGTCTTTTGCTTGGGACTCATTCTACTTGTAGCTACTGAGAGAGAACAAGTGATGTCTAATAAAGCTATGAGCTGTCCCTGAAATAAATATATCTTGCATTATTCCTGACTGCTAATATGAAAGAATAGGGTTGGAACTAGTACGTGAGATTGCAGATTTAAGAAAGATTATATAAAGGAAGCAGTCACCCACACCTTAAATTGCAAGCTGTGCAAGGAATTAGAAAATCCAAAGGCTTCCTTTAAATGGGAGGGTGTTTTCAGAGGAGTTAGGTTAGCTGTTAAGACCATGATATCTAAGCACAAATCAGCCCTGAACATCTGAAAGGATTTATCTTTGTGGAATGCATTGCTAACATCCTCTTTTTGCTGCACTGGCTTATCCCAACTGGAGGCACTGTAGCTTAGAATACAAAGACCCCTTTCTGAGGCCATAATCCTTTGGCATTGCTCTAGCTGATCTTGACAGGATAATGGCACCTCTTAGTAATTAAGGTAGGTAACCTCAGACTTGGATTATGTACATTTAAAAGTTGGAAGTTCCAACTTTCCTCAAATGTTCTTATCCTTTTACCTCATAAGCTGTTTTTCCTGGATACACCATATCCCCCAAAATCTAAAAGGATTTTGGACTCCCTCTACATGAGAATCCTTTCTTACTCCTCTCTACTAATTTGTAGGGCCAAAAGAAAGGAATCAGTATGTGCCTTATACATTGTTAAATCTATAACAAACCACATACCAGTATGGGCACCATCACCTGGAATGGCACCAACTCCAAAAACATTGGTCACAACTTCCTATCACAGGATCATAGATTTAGAACTAGAAAAGGTCCAGTCCTTTCATTTTACAAATGAGAAAACAGGCCTAGAGATTTAAAGTGATTTGCCCAGTATCACATAGCAAGTAGCAGATCTCTTATTTGTGAGACACTTTGATTCCAGATCTACCATTTAAAAAAAAATTCTAATGATAAAGTCTTGTTTTTACACCTGTTTTTTCCTGATACGTAGCACATGCACGAAAATATACACATAATTGAAAATTTATAGAGCCCAATTTGAACCCTTTGGAAAAAAAAATAGTCAACTGAGAGAAACTGTCTGCCACCATATACAACATTCTGTAGATGTCCCCCACTTCTACTGAGAGTATATAGGTGTATTTGATAACTGTTCCCTTGGACAGAGATTGGTCTTTACATGTAACCAGACCCCAGTTGCTTTTTAGTGGTGTTTTTATTTTTGTTATTGTAATTGTTTATCATTTTCTTAGTTCTATTTACTGTGAATGCGTTCATACAAATCTTTTCATGTACTCAGAATTCCACATATTAATAGTTCCTTACCATGCAATTCCATTACATTAGTGTATATACCACAGAGACAAAGAAGAATAATTTCCCTTATACTAATTTAGTCCTTTATTCTTAGTATTCTTCATGGCATTAAAATTTTTAAGGTATCTATTTTAGGTTAACTCTTTTAAGTTTCTGTTATTGCCTTGTAGAACTTGCCCCTGGTCCCCTTTCTTCTATTGTGCCTCACCATTAGGAAAATATAAGTTTCCGCAGGAGATCAAGACAATATTGTCCAATGGTAGGATTATGCAGTTTGTTATTGAGCTGTTTCTTCCATTTATTCATTTTTACCCTCTATTTACCTCAAAATCCATGCCCTCCCACTCTTCTGGATATCAGTTGCCCTCAGGAGCACTGAGGTATGATGAGTGGTCTTTCTGTGCACCAAATCTCTGCAGATAATATTGTAAGGTTCCCATCTCTCTTTATAGACTCTATCTCTCCTCCCATTGGAGCAATCATCGGTAGCATCCCCTCCCACCATTGAAACAAGATTTTCCCCTTCCCCTTTTTCAATCCTTCTCTTTTTACCTCCATGCCCATTCTCCAGTAGGCTGTCTTCTTCCTGAGAGACTGTAGGAGTTATTTTCCTCTCATTGTTAACCTTTGACTTGATTAGGTTACTTCATATATTCCCCTCTTATCATCTTCCTCTCATCCCACTTTTTTATGCATCCTCCCATTTTATAATTTAGTCCTCAAAAACATCGATTCACCTGTAGGTTGGTTGTTGGGAGTTTTATTCCATGAGATTTTAGGCCTACTTCATCTTTGCTTTCATTCTTTTCTCCTATTTATTTAGAAAGAAGTCTTATAATGGTTTCTCTTGTTAATTTGTTGTTGTCCTTTGTTGCTATATTTGTTTATCCTTGTATTTCTTGTTGTCTGGGTTGTTTGAGAAGCAAATAATTTCTCAAGTCTAGTTTCCTTTTTAAGAATGTTTCAAAATCCTTTTTATTATTGATGTCCCAAACCTTTTGTTCTTTCCCCATACCACCTCAATCAATCTCAACATATACTAAGAAAAGAAGTCACTCAGGGTGAAAACTCATCTTTTAACTCTTTAATCTACATCACAAACTCCTTGACATAAGCTCTGATTTTTTCAGTCTCTAAAGAAGTAGCCCTTCTCAACTAAGAATATATATATATTCTTATATCTGGGTGTACAGGTATTCAGGGAAAACTAGTACCTCAGGGCTGTTTTCTACCTTTGGTGTCCACCTGCCACCCAACTTTCACCTGTGGTCCCAAAAAGCTGTATCATGTGCAGCAACCGTATCCCATTAAGCCATTTTGGCAGACAGGCTAAACCAGGTTTGAGAGTAACCAATGGGCCTCAAGACCATCGGTGAGTTAGTGAGGTATCTACTCCAAGCATGTGGAGACTTGGAGGAATAGGCTGATGTGAGCAATTTCTTCCATTGGCCACATAGGTGGTAGAATCAGACACTGTGGAGTGCTTAGAGCTTGGTTAGACATCAAAAATGCCAAGGTCATCCACTGCACCTCTAGCCATTGCCAGTTGTCTTGACTTTTGTCTTGCCACTAGATTTCAATGACTCGGGAAGAGAAAGTGAAGCCAACTACTTCAGCAATTCTGCCTCACTTAAATTCAATTCATGCGTGAGTCAAAAGACATCATTATAAACATTTTTATCTATCTTAAAGTCCTGTGGTGATGGACAAGGGACAAAATAGCAGGTACAGATACACTGGAGGCTGTAGTCACAACCCTGCACATAGACAGTCAGGGCCATAGGGTCATCTTCTTACTGGACTGAAGCAGGGGTGGGATTTGGCAGCCCCTGGGTGTCTGAGCAGCCTTTTTTTAAGGACTATTTTGCTCACCTCCTGGCATGAGGAAGGGGCTAAAAAAGGTACCCTAAAAGTTGTCTGCTTCACCTA